GCTTGGGGCAGACTGGAGCTTTAAAGAGAACCTGTCACCTCTATTAAAGAGGAACTCCAGGAAGTGTAACACCGAACCCTTGCAGTGGGGCTACCCCCGCACTACAAGGGTGATGTGTTTGTTTTGGTCTAGGCGGGAATGGATATAATCACTTGATCCTCGGTCCTGCGACGGTTAGCACTCATCTCTCCCCCACTCCGCTCCAGTGGTGGAATGTCCATCAGCGTAATCCAGTCTAATGCAAGTAACGGACCTGCATAAAACGTGAAGATGTCAGTGGTACTTAGACAGTCAGAGACCAGGGGAGAAGAAGCTGCAAGGACTGGTTCTAGCAGCCAGACGGGGCAGAGGGTCAGGTGAGTATATCTGCTTTTTTGAGCCCCCTAGACACAACAAGCACTTAACCCTTGCAGTGCAGGGGTAGCCTCACTTAAAGGGTAAGTCCATGTCTAATGCACCTTGCAACTACCTTTTCTTAGGATTACTGGTCAGTTACTGGCCCCCTCAACTGTTCTGGGTTCAGTGCTAAGCTCTTCCCTCCCAATTCAATACAACAGTCTTAGCGGGCAGTATAAGCTTTGGTAATGGACTGCTGAGTGATGGGGAGAGGGGCATCAAGTTAAAGGCAGATGTATCTGTTGACAATCTGGCTAAAATAGAACTGGGCTCGAACTATGGAATCATAAATGTGATCTAGGCTGCCCATACCAGGGATCTAAGTACTAGGTTATGCACTCTCAGGAGTGGGAAATTAGACTTTGAGTTACCCCTGACCCCGACACGCGGATGAAAGTATCAGATTCAGACAAAGGAAAGCCTAATACAGGGAAAAATGCATAGATTTCTTAGGTAAACCTACTCAATAACATTATATATTTAAAACTAAAAAAAAAGCCTAGGTGTGGCTGGTCCTCTTTAAAGCGAACCTGCATCCATTTTTCATTGGACAGGAGAAATGTTCCTGGCATTATGTAGCCATTAAAAGTTTCATAAAGCTAATCCCCAAGCTAATCCTCATACCCTTGCCGCCCCAAAGAAACTAAATGGCCCAAATGCTTGAATCCGTGGTCATGTGATATGCCGGGACTTGAATCTTCTCAATTCTGCACTAGTGGGGGTGGGGGAAGGGGTCCTCCCCTGAGCAACCATGTCCATTCTTGGGATGTGGACACATCCAATTAGCTGTCCATTGGTGGGGTCCTCACAGGATTCTGAAGACTTCAGCAGTGGCAAGATGGCATCCTGAGGAAGGGCAGCATCAAAACTCGTCGGTGCTGAACCCTGACTGTAGTGGTGGATCACTGGTCTACAAGAGGTGCAGTGGTGGGTCACTTTATGTTGGACTCATTGTGAATGGTTGGAAGGGATTGGAAAGGGATTGGGAAGGGGTTGGGAAGGGGTTGGGAAGGGATTGGAAAAGGGTTGGGAAGGGATTGGAAAAGGGTTGGGAAGGGATTGGAAAGGGTTGGGAAGGGATTGGAAAGTGGAGGGTGGGGAGTGAGTCTACATTTGCCCAGAGATAGATTTTAAGTATTTTTTTAAAAACTGCTTTAAAAAACATTTACTACGGAGTGTAAACATGACTCTGTGTTTGCAAAGCATGCTTGGAATATCAATAAAGTCCAGCAGAGTCTTTTTTTACTGTCCACGTCAATCCGCTAATGTCTGACTCATTCCGGTCTCTGTATAACAGCTGCTCTGTAAGTGCTAAATATAAAATATTCATACCCGATATTTCAGACATATCTGACTGCAAAGAAACTTTTTTATTTTTGGGTACAGAATGTAATAAATGAAGAATATGTTCTCATAAAAGTCTTGGAAACGTTTCTGTGTTGAAATAGTTAAGAAAAGTGTTGATTTCATCTCTTGAAGCATATTTTATTTATTTTGTTGAAGATGTCTGGCGCATATACAGGTAGACGTACAGACTCTCACCCGTGTCTGAGGACACGGCTCTGTATTTGGGTGCCGGGAAGCCAAGCTCTTCCCACATGCCAGCGTTA